TATTAATGATAAGTATTTATGTACAATATGACTTGACTCTAGATGAACTAGTTGAAACCGGTTTTCATTGACTTTGCATACTTTTAATATTTAACTAATTTCGTTTGAACTTCCTACACTACAAAAAATAAGTATTTTGGTTTGAAAGTATTTAATATAATATTTTTTGTAATTCATCATTACATTACATATGACTCACACATTTGCATATGCTTAAATAATCTCGCTTTCTATAACCTAGCAATTAAATTCTATTTTAGTTGTCAGAACAAATGTTTTATAGCTTCCCTGTCATTATGTCTTTATAGCGTATCGCATTCATTAAATAGCGAGCCAAAGCGAGCAAATCAATTGCTCAATTAACGGCAGTGTGTGTGGCTCATAGTGTATATTTATAAATATTGTGTATAATTTATCAATAAACTTAACGCCAACACGCATGTGATGCATTGCGAGTAGTACGAATTGAGAATTTCTGTCAAATCAATATTATAGCTGGACTGTTCACTTATTGACTAGAATTGTCTAATTTAATTAATCAGCTAACTTGAGTTGTTGTTTGTCTTTTCTGGCATTTGTTCGCTTATATGTACTTTCGTGTTTTCTTTATTAATTTCTTTTGGATCAATTTGTTTGTGTGTGACACATGCTGCCACTACAAATTGATTAATTAAATTTCTCGCCGAAAAGGAACGAAAGTAAATGCTATTACGTCCAATTTGCACTCGCCACACACTTCCCCAATGTGCAGCTCTTCGCCAATCAGCGCTCAACACACTCACTCTATCGGCGCATCATTTATTTTGATGCTTCATCGATACACAACACACCCTTGTACTGTCGACGGACATGAATTGATTGTGGCGGCGGCAGCGTACGGCAAAATTCACCAAGTGACCGTGAAAATTACTCTGCGTTGAGTTAATTTAAATATGCAATTTTGTTGCATTTTAATTGCATTAAAACGCCTGATTGCTAAAGAAGTTGTTGAGTTATTCAAGCAAATCTGGTGTCCGTTGTAATTAGTGCTGAAAATTGACACAACTGTTATCATTAACGAATGCATACATAGTGCACATACATAGTTAACTGTGAGATTTATAAATCGATGAAATAGGATAGGAAAGGTCAAACTTAAAATTTGTATAAATAAAATCAAAAATAAAAATTTTAAGTAAAGGGAATAACTTAAAATTACCTGACTGGTAAATTTAAATGAAGCTTCAGAAAAGTTTGAAAATGCCTCGAAAAATATAATTGCTGTAATATCCGTCTAACCGGAGTAATAATCGAAACATATCGATCGAAAAACATATTTTGCACAAAAATTTAAATTTTATCAAATAAAGATCTTCTCGATAAATGACGCTGGGTTGGAAATGTTTTCAAAAGACATTGACCTCATAATAATCTCATGAATGAAGTATTGTTCACGAAAATTGGTGCTTTAAACAATATTTATAGAGTTGCACAAAATTTTATTATCTCTGTTGATAAGACAATGCTCATAATAAATATTTCATTACTTATTTATTAGATGAGGATGATCAACTTAGAGACTAATATGCAATTTACTATGTCAAATTTAAAATTAATTTTTAGCAATCAAATGTGAATTTATCAATTTAAATGTATGTATATCTGGTTTAAATTTATTCAAGAAATGTTTTCAATTCTAAGCATTTCTATATTCACATTCTGGTAATATACATGTTAATTCTATGAGTTTTCTTTAACCACGATTTTAGAAAGGTGCAACTTTTCAAAAATATTTCCAACTCTAAGCATTATTCATATTCTGATAATTACATTATTTTAGGCATTTGAAATTGAATTTAAATAAGTAACTCTTTATGAGAAATATTATCAAATTTTATAAGCATTTTTGCACTACATTGTAACAACTCGTGTATTAAGAATTTTTGAACCACTGTTTTAAATAATATGAACTCTGATGAAAAATATATCAAAGTAAGTTTTCGCTATCCATCCTCTAATAATTTGTTTGTTTTTCATTATTGATACAATATTTTAAAATATGGCAACCTGCAACAAAATTCAGTATAAACTATATATAATTTCGTTTTCCTAGCATAGTTAGCTCTTATTTATTCTAACAATTATTTTATGTCAAGTATCAACAGCAACCTATAATATCATTTCATATTAATAAATGTATAATAATTTTAATGTTTTCTACCATAGTTAGTTTGATTTATTCATTAAATTTATTTTATGCTCAATATCAAACAGGGCAACTTAAATATCATTTCATATGTTATAAAATGTAATGTACAAGGCATAATCAAACTTTCTAAAATGCCATCAAGTAAAATATTGCAGCAAAGTTTTCACTTGAAATTTATATTACATATGTACTATAATACTATATATACTATTTAAAAAGCTGCCTACGACACTCCACACAACTGAACGAATGACTTTTGTTTTATGCGAACTCACGATCTTTGTGGCAAGGTGCATTGTTCACAAACGCAAGTGGTGTGTTGCTTTGTTGCCGACAAAATTAAACAAAATTGCTAGTACGTGTCCAATCATCAATCGGCGAATGCATGACGAGGAGACAAAATAAACAAAATTATGAATTTAATGTAAAATGTTATTTGGTTGCTTTGTTTGTCATGCACTTGTAGCTACACACATATCTTGCATTTACATTTACATATACCAAATGATCTCAGTACCCTGCTAGAAATCGCAGCAGATATATACATACTATACGAGTATTTATGTTATACCTATAACAGCTGATTATGCTTGTAATGACCGTATTATACCTGTTTTTGTGAGCGAGTGGCAAAGAACAGCTACTGAAGTAAAGTTTTCATTTCAATTGCCAAAAATATTGTAAGGGTTATGGTTTTAGATATCTTGAAAACTCTATAATATTTATAAATTTGTATTTCTTTACGAAATTAAAATTAAATTGCTTAATGAAAACAACTTCCTGCTGGGTCAAAGCAAATATCATAAAACATGTGAGTAATATGCATATATCTTGATGCTTTAAGAATATTGCAAAATACAAAGCGTCTCCATAGCTCTTTATGTGCGGTTGTAAAATTAAGACAATGGCCCAAGTAAATAGACACCTGAAGTTTATTGCACTTCAAGCCAACTTCACATATACAATTTTCTGGTTGAGCTTGTATTTGTAAATGTTCGTTGATAATCTGCACTCTACATATTTATATATTTATTTGAGAGCCAACCACTTTGATAAGTGATACAAAGTAATGATTACATAAGCTACACATACAACTAAAAATAAATATATGCATAGTATGATGTATTATATATGAAGATCATGTTTATTTAATGCAACATCATCATCATGAGCATTTGTTGAAAATATGAGACCTTTTTGCAAATATAGCCTATCATGCAGCATTACAAGTCAAAGGAGAAGACAAAATAATGAGAAATACAATTAACCACCGTACAGACAAAGATAGCCTTGAAGTGAAATGAACTAATTGCTAACTATTTAAAAACTGAGTATTACTTTATAACAGGTGTATTAACTCAATTCCCAGCTGAAATACATACCACTCTTACACTAGTTCAAAATAGTTAAAAATTTCATTCAAACAAATATGGACTGAAACAAGTAGTTTTGACTGGATAGGTAACAACATAATATGTAAGTGAAAGTAAGGTCATAAAAGAGAGTAAATCTTTATTAACTTAAATTATGCAATATCTTTGCATAAATGATAAATGTTCAACTTCCTTGCAATGATTTTCAGTACAGAAATTTAATTTTAATAAGAATTAAAGCATATATGGACCAATTTTATAATCTTTTGCACCACATCATATTCATGTCATTAAAATATCACACATATTGACCGATATACTTCGGGGAGTCGCTGACTTCAACTGCTGTAGCATAAAACTAAAGTAGAAAATATTTTTATTTAAATTTATTGAGATATGGTATGTAACTCAAACATTGACCGAGATGTAAATGGTATATAGACCAATTAGATTGTATAAGATCATATTATTTGCTGGAGTAGTTTTGTTAAATCTAACACCTCTAACTAAGAGACAATGTCTCACATTAGTTTTTCATCTACGCTGAAGTGTTTAAACAAAAGCCTTTGGGTGAATCGATTAAAGTAGTAGACAAAGTAAGTCATGCAAAGCATATAGTTTTTCTTCATTAAATGACAAATTTCATTACTTTGACTGTAAGTTTAGAGCACATTTAACAAAATTGTGACTTAAATAGTTGTAGAGAAAAGTAAAGCTTAGAGCTTTAATTAGTTCAGAGTTGCATTACAATGGGAGAGAGGCTTTAGTTCGGATATGACCGTTTATAAATTATGTTGCTTTTTAGAGGGTGCGCAAATTTCGAATATAGGATGTTCGAAACTTCATCAAAAACAGTACCAATTGTATGCATCTCCAGATTGCTGTAATTTATGACAGCACAGAAGGTAATCTTAGCATATTAAATTTAATTCAATTATAATTTCATCATATAGACTTACGCAACAGCAAATTAATTAACTCAATATATATATAAAGTAATAATAAATGTGCTTAAGAATTGTACTTGTCAAAACTGCGATGACTTCATAAATCGACAAATTATTAACACACTTAATACTCGCTTATCAATATTTACATAAATTTCAACATAATACACCTCTCACATACATATTAGACATACACTGATATGTAACAACAAGATATATGTGGGTATACATATGTTAATCAATCGCTTGAAAAGGTGAAGAGAGACAAATTACAACACAACAAATAAAACATTCAACACTTCATTAGCGTGCATTG